CTGCCCACTCCTGTGTCCGCGCCCTAGGGAAGACGGCGCTGCTCCACGCCCTGGCCAGCAGCGACGGGGTGCAGATCCACAACACCGAGAATATCCGGCTCTTACTGGAAGGAGGTGAGGCTGGTCTCCACCTCCACCCCGCCCACAGGGCAGCAGGCTGTCCCCAGGCCTCACCCCTTCTCACCACGCTGAACTTTTTGCGGGCTCCCCTCACCCCTGAAACACTGACTTCTGCGCGCGTTTGGGGCCTTTTCCCACCTTCTGTTTCCCTGCTGGCTCTTCTAGGGGCCGACGTCAAGGCTACCACCAAGGACGGGGACACCGTGTTCACGTGCATCATCTTCCTGCTGGGGGAGACTGTGGGAGGGGACCAAGAGGAGGCCCAGATGATAAACCGCTTTTGCTTCCAAGTGACGCAGCTGCTGCTGGCCCACGGGGCCGACCCGAGTGAATGCCCAGCCCACGAGTCCCTCACCCACATCTGCCTCAAGAGCTTTAAGCTGCATTTCCCTCTGCTGTGCTTCCTGCTGGAGTCCGGGGCTGCCTACAATTGTTCCCTCCACGGTGCGTCCTGCTGGTCTGGCTTCCACATCATTTTCGAGAGGCTGTGTTCCCACCCGGGCTGCGCCGAGGACGAGAGCCATGTGGAGCTGCTGCGCAAAGCTGAGACCATCCTGGACCTCATGGTAACCAACTCCCACAAGCTCCAGCTGCCAGAAAACTTCGACATCCATCCCGTGGGCAGCCTGGCTGCAAAGATCCAGGCCCTTCACTGCTCCCTGAGGCAGCTGGAGAGCTATCCCCCGCCCCTCAAGCACCTGTGTCGCGTTTACATCCGGCTCTACCTTCAGCCGTGGCCTGTGGACACCAAGGTCAAAGCCCTGCCTCTGCCCGACAGGCTGAAGTGGTACCTCCTCAGTGAGCATAGCAGCGCCGTCGAAGACGAGGTCTGAAGGCCCCAGGCGGAAGGGAGCAGGGTCTGGGCAGCTGTCAGCCTGTGGGTGCTGCCTTAGGGCAAGTCCTTTCATCTGGAAACCTCTGGGTCCTCTGCTGCATGTTGGCTGGAGATGGGAGATAGGACTTGGTGCTTAGTGAGGCGGCAGGCGAGCCTGGCAGCTGCGTCATTCCAGTGGAGGAGGCGTGTTCAGTCTTCCAGGGAGATATTCTCCACACCCCTACCCTCCCCCACATCTCAACTACATAGATTTAGGCCAGGGTTTTTACCCTCTTAATTTGAGGGGTGCTGGGCATTTAGAGGGAGGGCCTCTCCAAGCCCAGGTCCTCCCGAGCACAGACCGGCCTGCCCTGCCTGGGAAAAGGACCGAGGCAGAAGCCAGCCAGGGGCCCAGGCAGGCCTTGGGGGTGCGACCCAGCCAGGGCCCCGACCTCTCTTCACTCAAGTTTCTGCCCTTAGGAAAGTGCCCGGGTGGTGGGTGTTGAGGCCAAGCCACCTGTGCCCTGGCAGCGGTTCTGCTTGTGCCAAACCCGGGCCCTTCGGGCACACGCCCTCTAGGGAATCAATCATGAGTGCATGACGGGACAGGCTTTTCCAAGAGTCTGGTCGTGTGAGGCACCGATGGAGAAAGCGGCCCCCTGTGAGCCCTCACAGCCCCGAGTGACGCTGGTCACATGAATGTGTGGATGTCCCCGAGGATCAGCTGGAGTGGCCTGATGAGATATTTATATTACAGAATTAAACTGAGTTTCCTCTCAGTCCTTGTGCGTCATCTCCCCGTCCCCTCCCCAGTTCTGGGTGAAGGCGCCTCATGGTGGGCACAAGGAGATGCGGCCTCTGGGGGAAACAAGTTGGCAAGTAGCAAGACTCTGGGCTCAGTAAAGAAAAGCACCGTCCAGGACTGGCAAGGCCTTTACAGTACAGGAGTCACCCCTTTTATTTCTGCCTGGAAATGCCCCCCAAGGAGGAGCCAAAAGGCACAGCCCACAGCTAGGCTTTAGACCTCTCCCCACGCGAGGCTGCCGCTGCGAGCTCGTTAAGGGCACCAGGGCCCCATCACAAGATGGAGCTCGGGACAGAGCTTCCCCAGCAGCTGCTCTACACGGCAGGCGGCAGCAGCCCCGGCCTCTGCCCAGCTCCTCCCTGCAGGTACAGTCCTCTACAAGCAAGTTCGGGGTTCTGTCCCCCTTAAGGCAGCGGGGCCTGTGGCTGGGAGGCCAGGAATCTGCTGCTGGTGGGAATCACCACTTAAGAGTCCCCCAGAACATGGGGCCCCAGAGCCCTCGGCGGCCTGCCCGCCCAGTCCCCTGATGCCCCCTGAAGTGTCTGCAGAGCGGGCGGCAGACCGGTCTACTCGGTGACCTTGCCACCCCGCACCCCTGGTGTGGGGGCTCAGGATCTCACTGCTGACCCCACCCCGCGCAGGTTCCTGGTCTCTCCTGGCAGCCCCTCATCTCAGGGCCAAGCTGTAGACGTGGTAGATTTCCTCAGGGAGGTTCTCTTGCCGCTCCTGGGCGAGGAGGCTGAGGCCAGCGTTGTGGATGATCCTGTGGACCACCTCGAGGTCCCGGCACACGCTGCTGTCCACGTCGTCCAGGATCACGCCCTCCTGGGCCATGTTGTCCTTGATAACTATGATGCCATTGGGGCGCAGGCCCAGCTTGCAGCGCCGCAGGAACTCGGCCAGGTGCTGATCGGTCAGGTGGCCTGCGGGAGGCAGGGCGTCACTCGGGGCGGAGGCTGGGTGTTTAACACACGGCCCCGCGGGCGCACTACAGCTGCCAAACCTAGTTTCATAGGAGGCTGCTGGCCCAAGGGTCACCTCCCCAGCGCAGACCCAGGGTGCGGCTGGATTTTACCCCTGGGTGTCTACCCCACACCCACCCTCCCAGCCTGGCTCGGCGAGCACCAAAAGGTCCTTCCCACAGGAAAACTCCAGGCAGCCTTTTGGGGGCCACAAAATACAGGGCCAGACCCAGCGGGTCCCCAGTAGATTTGTGCTGCCGCCCAGGAGGGAAGCGCGCCCCGCCAGGTAGCGGTCAGGATGGCGGGTACGCGGGGGGCACACGGGGGCCCAAACACAGGGACAGCCGAGGCTGCACGGTCCCGCTCAGGGTAAAACCCTTATAGAAACTCTTCCGCATTCTTGAAATGTAACTTATTAGTCAGTTAAAATTTTTCAACAAAAAACTAACCCCCCCTTTTGTAGTATTTGTAGGCAAATGGTAAATCAATAAAAATTACACTAAAAGTAATTAATGCTAAAAATAAGGCAGTAAATGAAGATCTAGGAACCCACCTAACGTGAGCACTGATCAAAACTGGTTAAAAACACACGGTGAAAACACCCCAGTGGGTCACAGCCAGTGCTGAGTCTCCCAGTCGTGGGGAGCAGGTGAGGATACCCCAGTGCCCGCCTGTGGCAGGAGCCCCAACCCCCGGCTGTGCGGGAGGCAGTGGGGCACACCTATCACCCACTGGATCCAGATGACGTCGTAGGAGCTGGGCTCCGGGCTGAAGTCCTGGAGGCCGCAGCAGAAGTAGTTCCTCACCCTCTTGCCCTCCTCGCCCAGGTAGGTCCTGGCTTTGACCAGAAAGTCCTCAGTCACATCCACCATGTCCACCACGCCGAAGAGGGGCAGGAGCAGCCGCTTGGTGATCCTCCCGATGCCGGCGCCACAGTCCAGGGCACAGGAAGTGCCCGTCTTGTTGGGGCCATCCTACGAAGCAGAAGCCAGAGCCATCAGGAAGGTGGGAAGGTTGGAAAAAGCCTGTCACTGCAGGGGGCCACCCCTCCTGCATCCCAGAAGCCCTCAGAGCGAGACACAGGCTGGGGGCTGGCACTTTGTGGGGCACTGACGGGTGTGAGCACTGCACTGTCTTTCTCTGGGCTGCACGTTTCTAGAACGAAAGCCAGCCTCCGTATCCAGGTGAGAACGGGGTGAAGGACATTCATCTCTCCTGAGACCCCAGGAGGAGAATGAAAGAATTCAAGCCGAGAGAACGGAGGGGGCAATCGTGAGCCCAGGACTCGAAAGGCAGGGCGAGATGGGAAGTGGGTGGAGGAGCATGGCAGAGAGGGAAGCGGTGGCCTTGAGGACGGCCATGGGAGGGACAGGAGGCAGCGGGCCCCACGAGGCTCCAGCCACGGAGATGCCAGCCTGGGACATGGGGGGGGCGGGGGGCGTGCGTGACTAGAAGCCGGCCCGGGCAGAGCAGCCGACACCCACGGCCCCAGCGCCCATAGCCACGGCAGCACAGTGCAGGCTTCGCCCTGGCACAACCAAACAGTTTGCAGGGAGACGCTTGATTCTGGCACCCAGACGACCCCCCTGCCCCCAACAGCCGAGAGCTCTGTCTGGTAAGCTGAAGCCAAGTCCTGAGTCTGCCGCCGCTCTACCCCGCCCGCTCGAGGCCCCGCAGCCGACACAGGGACCCCGACGCGCCTGCAGCAGCCCCAGTAAAAGGCGGGGCAGGCAGGGCCGCCGCCTCTCTTCCTGGAGAGCACACCAGACCGGCCTACCCTCAAAAACCTCTGCAGGAACTTCCGGGAGCTGCTGATGTCGATGCCGGAGATGTGGCCGTACCCCCCGAGCATGCCGTCCACCGTGGGCGGGACCTCCTTCCAGTACGTCTTGGCCTTGGAGTAGAATTGCTTCTCGTCTTCTATCACCTCGCTCGTCATGCCGTCTGCGGCCGCGGGTCTGCCCCAGCACCAGCCTCAGCAGCGGCGCCTCTGGACAAGACAAGCAGCTCGTCAGTCCGGCGGGGTCCCCCTCACCTCGCTTCGCTGCTCACACCATCCTGCCCTAGGCAGAAGGCCCAGCGTCCCCAGGTCTGCCCCTCCCGCTGGCTGGCGCTGTCTGCCTGCACTGGGCCATCTTGCAAAGCTACCTTCGCATCAGAGAAGGGGGCCCGAGTGCCGCTGCGCCTCCTTTCCTCACTCACCGGATGGCTTCTGGCCCCCGCACAGAGAACCCCCATCTACACCGAAGAGAAGGAAAGCAAAGGAAGCGGCCTCCTCCAGTGGCCATCCCGGCGGATCTTGTGGGGGCGGCGGGAACAGACAACGCGCCCTGGGGGGTCCGGCCGTTTGCTAAGGAGCAGCTTAGCGCCGTGCAGGGCCAGGGAGACAGCGGACAGAACAGCTACCGACCCGCAGCCCCCAGAGTCGTGGCGGCAGAGCAGTCACCCAGAGGGACCTGACTCGGCTGGGATGTCAGGGAAGGCGGCCCAGGGGGCCAGCCTAGCACCCCGAGGTGGGAAGCTGGCTCCACGGAGAGGACCCACTGGAGCCGGCGGCTGGCAAGTCAAGGTACTGGGGCCACACTCCGCTGCTCAGGCTGCACCCGCAGAGCAGCGAGCTTGCACCCGTCCAGGTGAAGCAGGGAAGTTCAGGAGGGGTACGAGTGACAGCGACAGGCTCTCGCCAGAAGGGCGCAGGGGGATTCCACAGCCACAGCCTGGGCCCAGGCGGCAGAACCAAGGCCACCGCGTCGGTCCGTGCGGGCTCACGCCGGGAGGGCCAGAGGAGCGCGCGCCATGGGACGTGAGGCTGTAGGGCTACAGGCCCTGCCCCGGCAGGAGGGAAAGATGGAGCCAGCTAAGCGCCAGGCGAGACCGTGAGACCCTCGCGGAGTCAGAAGTGCTGTGGCAACTCAGAGGCTGGAGGGGGCAGTTGGGCTGCGGCCTGGACGCCAGGACTGCGCTGGCCGAGTGGGGAGTGTGGGGCGTGGCAGAGGCAGACTCACAGGACATGCGAGCACCCTGGGATCTCGGCCGGGCTGGCCGCTCTGGGACAGGGAGAAGCCGCAGGATGGGAGTGAGGATGGCCAGCGCGGCCGGCCAGGACATGCTAGGGGAGTTTCTAAAGAGCAGGGGTGTCAGGGGCCACCCTAGAAGACAGGACCAGTAGCAGCTCACGCTCTGTCCCCTGCACCCATAAGCCCCTTTCACTTGGTGCTGGCTGGTCCCACCAGGGCCCCTACGAGAGGAGGGGCCGCTGCCCCAGAAGCAAAGCGCCTCACCAAGGTCAAGAGGCCCACGCACCTGCTGAGCCCTTACCTGACAGCTCTCCCCACACGCGGCGCAGTCTCACCCTAAGGTGTGGGCCTGTGGGTCACCTCCTTAGAGAGGCCTCCCCACCAGCCTGCCCGGAGCCGTCCTCACCCGATCCGAGCGCATGCCCCGCTGCCATCAGGACAAGGCTTTCCGTCAGACACTAATTTACTTGGCGCCCACTGCCACTGGAATGGGAGCTGGGGAGGCAGGACCTGGCCTGTTCGCCACTGTCCCTGGCACCCAGCCCGAGTCCCTCAGCGATGGGTGACAGCTCCCAGCCCTCCAGAAAAGCGGCACCTGTCTGCGCCCCACCACTCATCCACAGGGTTGCAGGAAGCCCCCGACCCCCGAAAGAGACTCAGTTCCCATAAGCAACACGAACCCCCTAAGACCAGGGAACGCCTGAAGCGTATCCAGAGAAGTGATGGGAGAATAGTGAAGGACAAGCAGAGGCCTGCAATGCCCGTTTACACTCTAAGGAGAGACGGGGGACAAAACATGAGGAAGTTGGGGAAGTTTCACCAGCTGCACTTGCTACTAGCCCCCAGTGTATGACTATTTTCAGAAGGAATCTTCCAGAAGCAGCAGGCCCACACACCAGCCAAACTCAAAAAGGCTCCTGATGAGGTCAGGGTCGGCCTCTCCAAAGCCCAGCCTGGCTGCTTAGACAGAAAGGGGGCCCTCCCTTCTCGCCGTCCCTCGTGGCCACTGGCTCCTCTTCTGGACATGGGCGGTCCTCCCAGACAAGGTCATCTGGTGTGTTCGGAGAGACCCGGAGAGAGCCATCAGCACCCACCTGCCACCAGTTTCCAGCTCTTCACTGTGACTGTGTCCCCACCTTTGGCAGCAGCCCTCAAGGTGCCCAGATCCCTCCTCGGTCTCAAAACAGCTTGCAGACGGCCGCCTCCCCTCTCTGCCACCTTGCAGATGAGTCCCAGTTACTGCTGCAGGAGAGAAGCCCCTGACACACCAGGCTGGGGGGGCCCTGGTTCTAAGAACTGCACCCACACCGATCACTGCAATGTCCTCCGCAGCGCCCCGGCACTGGAAGCTGTACTGGAAAGAGGTAGCCCACTGCTTACGAGAATGCACTCCCCTCTAGCCTTGAAGTTCAAGGTAAGCAAAAGGTGGAAACCTGCCATGCCCCAAAATGCTGGCTGTGGAAGGGCGGACGTCACAACAGCTCCCCCTGGGCCTGTCACCAGGTAAGCATGGGGTGCCTACACGAGTCGGTTCAGAAAGGGGTAAGGACCCAGGCCAAGTGGACAGCCTGGCCCCTACCAACAGGCACCACAGCAACCAGGTGACATTCCTGCTCAGACTGGAGCCTCCTGCCCCTCAGGCTCAGCAAGCAGGGGGCTTGGTAGCAGAACCAGAGCTCCCGGAGAGAATGATGGCGTCCAGAGACTCCTCACTGCCTTCCTCTCGCCTCCCGCACAACACAGAGCATTCAACAAAAGTTCACTTCTGTCTAGATGGAGGGAAAAATCTGGGGCCAACCCTGACTTTGCTGCACAGGCTCTGTCTACCAGCCTTTCACCCCAGAATGTACACTTCCAGGGGCCATCACTTTGCATACCATCAGCCCAGGACCTGAGAGAGGGGGGTGTTCACTAACCGGTTGGTGAATGAGTCGAGGAACAGGCTTTGTGGCGTGATAGCCCTTTTCCACTTTCAGGAAAATCCTCAAAAATCCAACCATTCAAAACTGGTAACACTGGAGGCCATTACTGACAATGCTTTTGCTCCACCAAATGCCCATACCACGATTCCTATAAAGTCAAGGCCTGAATAATCTAATTTACAAGAATTCCACTTACAGGTGGTTCTAGGAACAAGCCAGGGGAGGCACATCTAGGCCAGCAAATGACAAGTACAGCTTTGACATTTGTTTCAACACCAGGTTTATTTTATTTTTTTTTTTTTTTTTTTCACTTTTAAAAAAATTTTTATTTTTTTATTTTTTACATCATTGTTTATTTTTAAACAATATTTGCTTCCCCCACCCCCTCAGGGACATGCTCTTTTTTTTTTTTTTTTTTTTTTTTTATAAATTTTATTGTTATATTCCCCATACAATTGCAGCCCCCCATTCTGACCCCAATCCCTCCCCTCCCGCCCCCGCCCCCCTAAAAGTGTCTCTGGTTTCATAGTTTTTTGTTGATTTTGATTTTCACTTTCTTATAGTTATTCATTTCCTGGTCCCTTATTTAAGTTTTCTAGATTCCTGCTATGAGTGAGACCATCCGGTATTTTTCTTTTTCTTTTTGGCTTATTTCGCTGAGCATGATCCCTTCCAGCGCCATCCATGTTGCTGCAAATTGCATGTGTTTATCTTTTTTGAATGCTGAGTAATATTCCATGGTGTACATGTACCACATCTTCTTGATCCAGTCATCTATTTTTGGGCATTTGGGTTGTTTCCAAAGCTTAGCTATTGTAAACAGTGCTGCTATAAACATAGGGGTGCAGGTGCTCTTTGGAATTGATGTTTCTGTGTCCTTTGGGTAAATACCTAGGAGTGGAATTGCTGGATCATATGGAAGCTCTATGTTTAGTAGGTCCAGAAATCTCCACACAGCTCTCCACAGTGGTTGGACCAGTTTGCACTCCCACCAACAGTGCAGAAGAGTTCCTTTTTCTCCACACCCTCGCCAGCATTTGTTGTTGCTAGTTTTTTTAATATGTGCCATTCTCACTGGTGTAAGATGGTATCTCATGGTAGTTTTGATTTGCATTTCCCTGATGGCAAGTGATGTTGAACATTTTTTCATATGCCTGTTGGCCATTTGCATTTCCTCTTCAGAGAAGTTTCTTTTTAGCTCTTCTGCCCATTTTTTGACTGGATTATTTTCTTTGTTGTTGCTGAGTCTCATCAGCTCTTTGCAGATTTTTGTGATCAGTCCTTTATCATTAGTGTTGGGTGCAAAAATGTTCTCCCAGTTGGTGGGGTTTCTCTTTGTTTTTGTTATTGTCTCTTTTGCTGTGCAGAAGCTCTTTAATTTGATGTAGTCCCAGCTGTTTATCTTTGCCTTCACTATCACTGCTTTGGGTGATGTGTCTGTAAAGATGTCTTTGATGTGCAGATCACGTAGTGTTTCGCCTATATTTCCTTCTATATATTTTATGGTTTCAGGTCTTATGTCTAGTTCTTTAATCCATTTTGAGTTGATTTTTGTGTATGGTGTGAGGTAGTGGTCAAGCTTCATTCTTTTGCATGTAGCGACCCAGTTTTCCCAGCACCATTTATTGAACAAACTTTCTTTGCTCCAATGCATAGTCTTTGCTCCTTTGTCAAAGATTAGTTGACCATAAATCTGTGGATTTATTTCTGGATTTTCTATTCTATTCCATTGGTCTGTATGTCTGTTCTTGTTCCAATACCAAGCAGTTTTGATGATTATGGCTTTGTAGTATAGCTTGAAGTCTGGGAGTGTAATGCCTCCATTCCCTTCTTTTTTTTTCAGGAGAGCTTTGGCTATTCGGGGTTTTTTGTGATTCCATATGAATTTCATCAATAATTGTTCTATTTCTTTGAAGAATGACATTGAAATTTTGATTGGAATAGCATTGAATCTGTATATTGCTTTTGGAAGGATGGCCATTTTAATAATGTTTATTCTTCCAATCCACGAGCAGGGGATGTCTCTCCATTTCTTTGTGTCTTCTTCTATTTCTTTTAACAGTGTTTTATAGTTTTCTTTGTATAGGTCCTTTATCTCTTTTGTTAGATTTATTCCCAAATATTTGATTTTTTTTGTTTCAATAACAAAAGGGATGGTTTTTTTGATTTCTTCTTCTTCAGATTTATTGTTTGTGTATAGGAAGGCTACTGACTTTTGCGTGTTGATTTTGTATCCTGCCACTTTACTGAACTGATTGATGAGTTGAATTAGCTTTTCTGTGGAGTTTTTGGGGTTCTCTATGTATAATATCATATCGTCTGCAAATAGTGATGGTTTGACTTCTTCTTTTCCTATTTGGATTCCTTGGATGTCTTTCTCTTGTCTTATTGCCCTAACACCAGGTTTATTAATAAATGTGACTCCTGGGCCCTGTCTCTACTGTGTGCCCTCCCCGGTGTCCAGACCGGAGTGGGCAGGAAGTACTGAGGAGTCCCAGGGAACAGCGAGCTGTCCGCCAAGCAGCAGGCAGCCCTGTCCCTGCTTCAGATCCCAGGGAGGAGCTACTGGCCCTGGCCGGGGAAGGGCATGGACACCACCTGGCTGTGCACTCTCGCCCAGTGCAGAGTAGGGCAAACCTCTGCTCCTCAGCCTGCAGGATGTCTGTGCATCCCTCATGGTCTCTCCAAGGTATTTAGGGCAACACCTGGGCAACGCCCCCACTACCTTTTCTCTCCCAGGATTCCTAGAAGAGAGAGTTATCTGAACTCTCACCATCAGCTCATCCTTCTTTTTTGCCAGTTCAAGGGTCTGCCTCCTCCCTCAGGCAGCCTGCTGGGCAGGGCCTGTCTCCCTGCATCTGTGTGGACGGCAGTTGGACACAGGAAAATAGCAGGGTACTCTGTGGAAAAGGGGAGGGAGGGAGGAAGACCAAAATAGGGGAAATGCTTTAAAACCAAAGCTCTGATAGATCAGATGAGCCAGGGCTGTGACGGCACAGGTCAGACACTGGACACCAGTCAAGAAAGCTCATGTATCTATAAAATGGGCAGAGTGACAGGTTGCGATGACCCAATGAGGACATGACAAGCGTGTAGTGAGTCTGTCAGTGCAGGTGCCTATTAGCCCCAGGCTTAGAAACCTGTCAAATGAGTCTCATTGACTCTGCCAACTGTGAAGAACAAGTGTAAATTGTAGAGTGCTGGACACACGGGAGGGGTTATTACTGTTAAGCTGGGTACTCAATCTAGGGGACCCAACCCGCCTGTGAACAGCAGGGAGGGGCGTGAGCTTCCCATCCATGTGAGCACACAATCACCGCACGTGCTGCCGAGACACACTGTGGCCGACCGATGGCTTCCGGTGTCCAGCAAAGCACCTCACAGGTACCCCCCACCCTTCCAGTCCCAGCCGACAGAAAAAGCACTCCACCAAAGGTGTGTGCCTGAAAACACACCAAGCCAGGAACAGAGTAAGCAGGAGACCCAGACTTAGCCCAGCCGAGGCCTTCGTTCGCCCTAAAGCTGGTCCCCTCCGACCGGCGGGACCACCTGCTACCCTGCCCACCCCAGCGTCGGGGCGTCTGGCACCAGCTGCTGCTATTTCTGGTGGGCACCGAGAGCGACACCGGGGCCCCCGGAGGCCCCCGGGGGCGGCGGCCACGCCCGGGCTGCGGGGTGTGACTGCCTCTGGCCACAGCTGACCTTGGCTCCGCGGGCTCCGGGCGACGAGCCGTCTCGAGAGCGGCCCGTGTCCGGCCCCCACGCCACGGGCAGCCCCGCGCGCGGCGCCGGCTGAGCGAGTCACGGGATCTGCGGAGTGGGCCCTGCTTACTTCGGGGACCCGCTGGGGGAGCGAGGCTCGGACAGGGGCCCGCGGGGCCCGCGCCGGCCTGAGGGCGAGCCCCGCCGACCCCGCCGTCCTCTCCCCGCGCCGCCCGGCGCCGGCCCGCGGACCCGCCGCGCGCCCGGTCACGTGCAGAGCGAGCCGCGGGCGCCGAGGCAGTTGGGGCCCGGCCTCCCTCTCCCGGCGGCCGCCGCCCCCCGCTCCGCCTCGCGCTACTCACAACGGCGGGAGCTCCCGGCACCCGGGGAGCGAGGACCGGGGAGGGCGGGAGGGCGGCCGCGGCGACGAGCCCTGCCCGCCGGCCGTTCCTCCCGGCAGCGCCAGACGCGACACCTGGCGGCGCGCGCGGCCTTTGTCCGCCCGCGTCACTTCCGGGCGCCGGGGGCGGGGCCTCGCGTGGCTCCACCCCGGATCGCTTGCCCCGCCCCCTGCGCGCCCGCCCCGGCTAGACTCTGGGCCCTCCGGGATTTAAAGGGGCTGCAGCGCCGGACCTTGTGCCCGCGTCCAGCGCGTGCACCTGTTCCCTGGGGGCTGCCTGGCCGGGCTCCTCAAAATAAATGTTCTGTGGGTGGGAACTGTATTAAAAGTGGGGCGGGGAAGCCCCCTATTCCTCCCCATAACAATTAGCATATTGAAATAACGCACCCATCAACAAATGAAAGAAAAAACAATACGCTTGGCAGTGCCAAGGGAGTGCCACCCCAAATAGGCACAAGTCCATGAAGTTTCCATTCCAAAAGGTTGTCCTATCCTAGGCCCCTTCCCTATCATGAAATTCGGGAGTTGTCCCCAAAGCCGCGCGAGGTAGGTTTGCAGGTAGCCAGACCTAGTGAGCCCTTCCCAGCCTCAGTTCCCTCATCCGCCAGACAGACGTGACAACCACCCACCTTCCCACGCTCTGAGGGCTAAACACGTGGCTACCGCAAGTCAAGCCTTCCACTGGGTGTTTGCAGCAGGTAGCAGGCTCCCGCACAAAGGAAGCCCCAGTGTTGACAACATTCATCTCAGTTCATCCTTCCTCCATCCTGCCCCTTCCTCTGGGGCATCTGTGTTTTCAACAAGCTCCCCACCCGAGGGGCTCAAGCGCCAACCGGCTTGGGCAAGGACTGGGTGGGGGTCCTGGTCTTAGATTTTTCAGGACCTTCCACTGGGTGTTGGCCACAGGAGGTGTTTAAACTGTGTTTCAAGGTGAAAATGTTGTAGAGCAACCCCGATACAAAACGGGGTGCCTGACTGTGGGTCCTCACCCGCGCGCTTAAAAGGACTTATCAATGCTCTACTGCAGGCACACGTGAAAGGTTCATAAAAGGTTTATTTACAAGGGAAGGGGAAATGAGGAAATGTACAGCTCTGGGAGAAAAGTGGGAGACAAAGTTTTAAATGAGTCCTATCCGATCCGCCAATCAGGAATCCCAAAATGGCGCTCTCAGAGTTGGCCGCCAGCCAGGAGCGGTGAAGCCAGGAGGCAAGCGATCGTGAGCCAGAGAGAGCCCAAGGCTCACGTGTTTGGTTTTTTATATCCAACCTGGCTGCCCAACTCCACCCTCAGGTCCCAGCCACCCTCCCTTGGTGGTGATGGGATTTGTCTTTCCCAGAGTCTTGATGGCTTTAGTCTGGAGTGGGGGTGGGGTCCACAAAGCCTGTATGGGATTAACTCAGGACATCACTTCCCGAATTGTTAGGGGGAAGTGATGTCCTGCATACCTTTAAAAGCTGACTCAAAAGTCCGACTTTGTTGTTGCACTTGATACAGCATGCTTTGATAAGCTGACTCAAAAACGTTACGATTTTCATCCCTTATACTCTTAATCGTTAAATCAAAAGCCTGATTTTGTTGTTGTATGGCCACGTTAAAAGCCTGAATTTGTTGTTGCATGGCTATGTTAAGAGCCTGAATGTGTTGTTGCACATTCTCAGTATGTGAAGTAGAACATCTACCTCTCACAGAAACAAGAATGTAGCAAATTGCGCTTACACATATTACCAAAAAACCACCCAGAAACACAGTCTGTAAAGGGATGGCTTGTAAACCACCCATGTATGTATACAATAGTAAAATCACGTGCCATACACCAGGCTTCATCAAATTATTTATATTCATGAAACTGGTGGTGATATTTAATGGAAGAAGGCTACTCAGATTCAAGGCCGGAAGGAAACTGAAAGAACTCAGGCTAGGGATGAAACTGTATAGGCTCATGGTTGAGGCCATATTTGAGTCAAAACGCACCCACAAGGGCTGTACGCACAGGGAAAAAACAGACTTTTCAGGACTAGAGACAAATATTATACTGCTAGTCCTGCAGAACTAGTGCGCTTATGGTGACCAACGCAAGGAATGTTACTTTGGGCTGGTCAACCGCGGGTGTAACTTGGAAACCACGCTGGGCGCCAAACTGTTGTAGAGCAACCCCGATACAAAACGGGGTGCCTGACTGTGGGTCCTCACCCGCGCGCTTAAAAGGACTTATCCATGCTCTACTGCAGGCACACGTGAAAGGTTCATAAAAGGTTTATTTACAAAGGGAAGGGGAAATGAGGAAATGTACAGCTCTGGGAGAAAAGTGGGAGACAAAGTTTTAAATGAGTCCTACCCGATCCGCCGATCAGGAATCCCAAAATGGCGCTCTCAGAGTTGGCCGCCAGCCAGGAGCAGTGAAGCCAGGAGGCGAGCGATCGCCAGCCAGAGAGAGAGCCCAAGGCCCACGTGTTTGGTTTTTTATATCCAACCTGGCTGCCCAACTCCACCCTCAGGTCCCAGCCACCCTCCCTTGGTGGTGATGGGATTTGTCTTTCCCAGAGTCTTGATGGCTTTAGTCTGGAGTGGGGGTGGGGTCCACAAAGCCTGTATGGGATTAACTCAGGACATCACTTCCCCCTAACAAAAACTACAGAAAGGGCGGGGTGCTGACAAGCCCCAAATCTGTTTCCGTACCTATTATTTGGTCTCTTAGAGTACTCCAGGCCAGGCATGTCTCCCCCACCCCCAGGACCCTCTCCCAAACTCCACCTATGCTCCATGTCTTGAAGAGAATGGGATAGAACCTGGGCAAGCTCAATGGCTGGGGGTGTCTGTTATCTCCTTTGAGGGGCAGCTCTGACTCCAGCTCTTTTAGGGGTACTTAAAAATAAAATCCACCCCTGCATTTTATTCCTATTGTTACAGTGTTATAGGACAAGGAGAGGGGCAGCCCAAACCCCCGCAAACCTGCCTATTCTAAATGGGTTCTGCCATCCGCCGCATCAACACAAAACATAGGAGACTTTAATGGGAAGGAACTTTAATAAAACTAGGAAACAATACAGGTAAGGCAAAGAGTCTAGTTTCTAAATGAAGCACCCAAAGTTACCCGTCCCCTCGTGGGTAAAACTCCATCCATATGGGATCGGCCCAGAACAAGGCCCCAAAGCCTGCCCCAAGTCTAAAGCATCTTCCAGTGGGGACCCACAGAAAAGGGTCACAAACAACCAGACAAGCCCGGAAGGAAAAGAGCAAAATCAACATCAAGATAAAAGCTGCCATTGTCATCTCTCCACGGGTCTCACCCACATCTGTGTCACCCAGTCCACGACCAAAAGACAAGCGCAGTTTCTTCACGTGTCTCTAGGCTCCATGCGCCTCCTCCAGGTCTCCTTCTGGCTCCATCCTGCTCCTTCCTCCTCTTCTGCAGCTTCTCCTCTTCCTGCTCAGCCACACCCTTCCTTGGGTGGGGCAGGGAACCTGGAACCTCCCCCTTTCCTGGGGACCACCCTGTTACACTATCATAGAGGAGAAAGCCGGTTCCTCACACCCCGGCTCTGGGACCTGTCCAGGTCTGGCCTGCCCCTTATCTAGAGGCCTCTTGCATCTCTGAATTGTGATTGTTGCCCAGTGAATGTGGGGGGACTGCCAGGGCCAAAGAGCTTCTCAGAAATGGAGCTAATGTGCTGTTCCTCATCCATTTTTTAAAAACTCACATTCTTCACCTACCCAGTTGTCTAACTTCCCAAGGACATCTGCCCTTCCATTCCTGGTTGAGATGTGAAAGTCTACCATGCCGGAGACATGACTGGTCCCAACTACTCTTGTCTCCCACTCCAGTTACACAATACCAGCTTCTTCACTCCACCCCTTCAGCCCTCCCTGCAGAGTCCATTTTAAACTTTGAACTCTGAGAAAGGAGGGGCTGGCTAGCCTGACGCAGCAACCAGAAGCAGAGCACAGCCTTGAAGCCGGCTTGGTTTCCAGACCAATTGCATTCTCTGTCCAGCCTTCTGGAAGTCCTCCTCCAGAGCCACCCAGGTCAAATGTGGCCCACCTGGCCTCCCAGCCCTGTAGCTGCCCCCTACACCCCCTCCTCCGGATGCCCATTGGCCTTCAGTGAGGAGGTATCACAATGACCTGCAGAGGCCCCGGCGGGAGGTTGGAGGGTGGGGGAGGGGCAGCAGTGAGACGAGGACAGGAAAGATGGGCTGCCCCAGGCTTCAGTTCACCTGTTAGGGGTCTCTAACCCTTTGGGAACTTTTCTGACCCCACTCAGAAGCCCCACCAGAGTCTACCTGGAGCCCCAGAGTCAGAAGAGAAGCTAGAGATAGAACTGGGGCCCTGTCCCAAGCCGGAGTTTGTAAAAGAAACAAAAAGCAAAACAAGGTGTTGTCCTGGCCAGGCGAGATCTAATGAATCAGAATCTGGGGCACCTGTGTTTTTCAACAAGCTCCCCACGCGAGGGGCTCGGGCGCGGACAGGCTTGGGCAAGGACGGGGCGGGGGTGTGCTCCAAGCCGGTTGGTGTGTCTCCATTCTCAGCCTAGCGCCAATAAGGGTAACAGGCCCTCGACACCCCCCCCCCCCATCCACTCCCTGCGGCAGAGGCTACTTGGGGCCACATCATCCCCGTGCCCCCCTGCGGAGGGCAGCGGGAGGCCTGGAAGAGGTCAGTTAGTTGGCGGGACTAAATCCTTTTGAAAACAAGAAGAGCAGCTGGGCTCGGGGG